GATAGAGAGATAGATAGATAGAAATAATAGATGTTCACTGTGAATTGGGAAGAAACCAAAGACCTTAAAACTTTTTCAGTGTAATTCTTCATCTGTTATTGTAACTGGTCTCCTTGTGCTGGGTGTTGTTGAGCTCCCTCTCTAACTCACTTTCCACATGGCCTGTCTGAATGAGGAGGTTTATGTCTGGTCTCATACTTCTTTTTCTCACTGTGTCTCTTGCACAGTAATACATGGCTGTGTCCTCAGCTTTAAGGAAATTCATTTGCAGGTGCAGCATGTTGTTGCTGTTGTCCCTGGAGATGGTGAATCGGCCTTTCACAGAGTCTGCATAGTATGTGGTTCTTCCATCATTCCAAATAACTGCCACCCGCTCCGGCCCCTTTCCTGCAGACTGGCGGACCCAGTTCATGATAGCTGCTAAGGTGAATTCAGAAGCTTTGCAGGAAAGGCTAAGAGATCCTCCAGGCTGTCTCATATCACCCCCAGACTCTACCAGCTGAATGTCACAATGGATACCAGCAAATAAAGAGCCACTTAAGAAAACAGTCACACAAATACATCACTTCAAAGAATGTTTCCTTAGTCACAAGACAAAACTACCTTGTAAAGAGTCAGAATGAAAATTCCAGTCAGTCCCAAACCCATTGTTCAGGCTCTACAGTGTCAGTCCTTAATAGAGGAAGGCCACACAGATGAAAAGCTTCTCTCCCAGAGCTGCAGATACAGGTTTTGCTGATTTTCTTCCTCAGAGGAGGAGCCCAATTTGCATGTCTTCTCTGTTTAGTGTGAGGAAGAGCAACTGCCTCCCAGTGGGGAGTCCCTCTCTGAGCTGCAGAGAAGTTTCTCTCAGGATTGTTTCTAAAACCCTGAGGAAGGTTAGTGACACTGAGAATCCAGTCTATTCTCAATTCCAAGGGAATGGTCATTAGGGTTTTCTATGTGTCTGATATTTTCCCAGCTTATCTCAGTGCCATTTCTAATTAAGAAGGCACCCCAAGCCTTTGTAATTCTGGATATTCAGGAGAGATTGAACCTAACTTCAGAATCTTTTGGGGGTTTTTGTCAGAGGGAGGAAGGAGGAGGATTTCTGAGTTTACTCTTAAGCACTTCTGCTTACTTACAGGGTTATTTTTTGCTCATTCTTTTTGGAACTGGATTTCCTGCAGATTGTATACCCCCAATCCCATTCATTGTCCCTTATATCCAGTGTGTACTCAATTGGCATGAGAGAGGTGACTGTTAAGTTTTCAGTGTGAGCTCTAGTATTTCAGAAATTAGCAGACACTGAAAATCAGAGCTTAACTTTTTTTTAATTCTTTATACTTAACAAAGGGAGAGAGAAAATCTTAATAATGTAGATTAAACTTAAAAGTATATTATGTTTACATTTTTCCCCTAGAGAAAACTGGTTGTTTAAAACTTAACAACACATTCAAGCTCATATCCCTGTTTGAGTTGGATTGAGGCAAAAATAGGCAGGGCATAATAAAGCCACCGAATTTCTTGGATCCTCCAAAATTCCCCATTTGTTTCTTAGAAGGACTCTTTGCATTTGTTGAGACAGTGACACCATATCCTCTGAGAAATGTGTGTATCTTCTGGAAACAGGTATAAGCTGAGCCTCAGACTGCACAGACCTTCCTTCCAGAGCAACCAAGTCTGCTGCCACCTACTGCACACAGTGACATCAGCTGAGACATTTTTCTGTCTTATGTCCACTTTACATTAATTCTTCACCCATTGGGAAAAAGTAGTTCTATCAGGGACCGAATGTGAAAATACTAAGTATTCTCCAGCCTTTTATTGTGGAATTTTGTATATTGTAAAGCCTTAACTGAGTCACTTTGTCTCTCTGATTTTTCTTCCCCTGGTAGAGGCCTTACATTTGCATTGTCCTGTCAAAGCAGATTATGGTATACATTAAATTTCTGTTCCTACCAGATATATGTTGGCCTCTAAAACCTAAAAAGCTTCACTGACCCTATATTATCTTCAGTTATCTGTCTTTCTATATCATTTCCCTTTCAATAACTCCAAGGAAAACTATATATACCTGATACCTTCCTTTAAGCATTTCTTAGTGCTTTGTAATTTGTTTTTTTGTTTTGCTTAGGCAATCAGGGGTAAGTGAAATACCGAAGATCACACAACTAGTAAGTGTCAATTGTCTGAGGCTGGATTTCAGCTCAGGTCTTCTGACTCCAAGGCCAGTGCTCTGTCCACTGCTCCACCTAGTGACCCTGTAATTGGTTTTCTGACCTTCTCAATCAGTTTATCTACTCAGGTCTCACTCTCTTCTTTTTCTCTCTATATGATTGCCAAAGTTTTCTTTCAAGAGATGACCAATGCATTTTTTTATACTTCTATTTTGCCCTCTCATTCTGAGCAATTTTCTTGAAAGATGAGATCTAGGTTCCTGTTTTAGTCAAAGAATTCAAGTAGTCTGATAATTCTTAAATTTTGTCTCCTCAATCTGTTTTCAGGTCAGATTTTTTAAAAAATTTTGAATTTCAAAATTTTGACTGTAATATTTGTTGTCTCATGGAGCCATTGGCTTCTATGTGTCCCATTCTAATTTTAAAGGTATTTAATGATTATGCCAGTTTTCTATCTCTTTCTCCAAACTGTTGATTCTCTTTCTAATTCTTTATGCATGCTTTTCATCTCTTTTCCACGTTTTCTTTTAGCACTCTCCTGTCATTGATGAAAACAATGTTAAACTATTTTTTAAAAACTCATACTTTATTCCAAGAAGTCCAGTTGAATTTTTGCCCTGAGCTATGTTTCTCTTTGAATCTTTGAGGCTTTGCCTCAAATGATGAATTGGAATCACTTTCTTCTTCTGGATTTCTGTCCTGAACACCTCTTGAACATGACTTTTTATTGTGAGACTCTTTTTTTGTTTGCTCTTTCTTCAAGCTTACTTTATGATTTTGCACTTCATGTGATCTGTCTGGTCTTTTTGTTATTCGGGGAAATTAAGTATTGTCTTATTCCAGAGAATTGGGAACTGCTAAGATTGCAAGCTTTCTGTGCTGCCCAAATAGTCTGATGCAGGGTAAAGGGTGATTGCTGCCCTACCCTCTTTTCTGAGCTCTCTGTAAGTTCTTGACCTGTCTTGGGGTCTGAACAACAAAAGACTTCTGGTAGACTCAGCAGCATTCAGTCAGGTAGGAAATCATCATCCTTTTGCTGTGTGTGGATAATTCTGGTTACACTAAATTGAAAAGTTTTTGCACAAACAAAGCCAATGCAACTAAGATTAGAAGGAAGGTAGAAAATTGGGAAACAATTTTTACAACCAGTCTCTGATAAAGGCCTCATTTCTAAAATACATAGAGAATTAAGACAAATTTATAATACAAGCCACTCCCCAATTGACAATTCGTCAAAGCATATGAACAGACAGTTCTCAGATTAAGAAATTAAAGCCATCTATAGCCATATGAAAAAAAGCTCTAAATAATTATTGGTTGGAGAAATGCAAATGAAAACAACTCTGAGGCACCACATCACACCTATCACATTGGCCAGCATGACAAAACAGGAAAATAATAAATGTTGGAGAAGATGTGGGAAAATTGGAACACTAATACATTGTTAGTGGAGTTCTGAAATGATCCAACCATTTTGGAGAACAATTTGGAACTATGCCCAAAGGGCTATAAAACTGTGCATACCCTTCGATCCAGCAATAGCACATCTGGCCAATATCCCAAAGAGATCATGCATATAATAAAAAGTCCACATGTACAAAAATACTCATAGCACCTCTTTTAATGGTGGCAAAGAATTGAAAGTTGAGAAGATGCCCACCAATCGGGGAGTGGTTGAGCAAGTTGTGGTATATGAATGTAATGGAATACTATTGTGCTTTACAAAATGATGAACAGGCTGACTTCAGAAAAACCTGGAAAGACTTGTATGGTCTCATGCTTAGTGAAGTGAGCAGAACCAAGAGAACTTTGTACACAATAAAAGCCATATTGTGCTTTGACTAATATGTATGAACTTAACCCTTCTCAGCATTACAAGGATCTAAGACATCTCCAGAGGCCTCGTGATGGAAAATGCTATCCACATCCAAAGAAAGAACACTATCATTTTTTTTCTCTTCTGTTGAGTTTTGTTTCCTCTTTCTGATGGTCCTTCCCATTGGTTTTAATTTTTACTTGCAACTTCACTAATGTGAAAATATGTTTAATAGGAATGTAAAAAAAATGTGTATATCTTCTGGAGTATCTGAGAACAGGTATAAGCTGAGCTGCAGACTGCAGAGACCTCCCTCACAGAGGAACCAAGTCTGCTGCCATCTACTGTACACAGTGACCTCAGCTGAGACATTTTTCTGTCTTATGTCTATTTTACATTAATTCTTCAACCATTGGGAAAAGGTAGTTCTCATCAGGGACCATTAGAATGCTGGCGAAAATACTAATTGTTCTCCTGCCCTTCACACTGCGGAATTTTGTATATTGGAAAGCCTGAACTGGTTCCATTTCTCTCTCTGTTTTTCTTCCCCTGGTAGAGGCCTTACATTTGCATTGTCCTGTCAAAGCAGATTACGTTGCACAGTTAAATTTCTGTTCTTACCAGATGTATTTTTGGCCTCCCAAACCTAAAAAGCTTCACTGACCCTATATTATCTTCAATTTCTCTATCTTTCTATATCATTTCCCTTTCAATAACTCCAAGGAAAAGTGTATATACCTGATACCTTCCTTTAAGGCATTTCTTAGCCCTTTGTAATTTGGTTTTTTTGTTGTTGTTGTTGCTGTTTTTTGTTTTTTTGTTTTGCTTAGGCAATCAGGGCTAAGTGACATACCCAAAGTCACACAGCTGGTAAGTTTCAGTTGTCTGGGGCCAGATTTGAAGTCAGGTCCCCCTGACTCCAAGGCCAGAGTTCCATTCACTGCGCCACCTAGCTGGCCCTGTAATTACTTTTCTGACCTTCTCACTCAGGGCATCTAAGATCTCACTCTCTCCTGTTTTTCTCTCCATATGATTGCCAAAGTTTTATTTCAAGAGATGACCAAGGCATTTTTTTTTAGTCCTATTTTGCCTGCTCATTCTGAGCAATTTTCTGGAAATATGAAATCTAAGTTCCTGTTTCAGTCAAAGAATTCAAGTAGTCTGATAATTCTTAAATTTTGTCTCCTCAATCTGTTTTCCAGGTCAGAATTTTTTAAAAATCATTTAATTTTCAAAATTTTGACAACAAAATTTATTGTTGTCTTATGGAACCATTGGCTTCTATGTCTTCCATACTAATGTTAAAAGTGTTTAATGATTGTGCTAGGTTTTCTGTCTCTTTCTCCAAACTGTTGATTCTCTTTCTAATTCTTTATCCATACTTTTCATCTCTTTTCCATGTTTCCATGTTTCCATTGCCTGTACAATTAAAAAAAAAAACTATGAAAAGAATGAACTAAAAATCCCCAATTAAATACTAAATTGGAGATCCTAAAAACTAAAGGTGAGATTAATAAAGTTGAGGGTAAAAAAAACACTGAATTAATAAATGAAAGAGCGAGTCAATTTTATGAAAAA